AAAATAAATATGGAAAATTCAAAATGAACTTTATTAAACTTGGAAATATTATTTCTAAGTTGAATAAGGTTGTTGATAAATATATTGTTCAAAATAATATTAGTTAGTAATTAAATAAATATATATTTATATATGTACTCGGTTTTATTACCGAAATATTATATATATTTATATATTTGTATTTTAATTACATAAATGACTAATATATATTTTGGAAAGTTATATCTCAATAAGAAAAATAATGTTTTTCAAAATATTAAATTTATGTAATTTAATATTTTCGAAATCAATTTAAATGGCTTTTTATAACTTATTGAGATTTAACTAATATATTTTGGAAATAATGATTTATAAATTTTGGAAATTTTATTTCCAGGTTTATAAATGTTGAAAATAATTACTGGAAGTTGAAATTTAATTTTCATGATTTTTGCAAAATTGTTTCAAAATGTTAATGGCCTTTTTTAATATAATTTTGCAAAAAGGGCATTTTGGTCATTTGGAATATTCTGGATATTTTTTTTATGCTGGCAGAATATCTAGAAAATTTTATTAGATTTATTTGGACATCTAATTTAATTTTATGAGTTTTAGAAAATATTTACTGCCGTAGTATTTTTCTAGAACTGTCTGGGGTGAGCGCGGTTCACCCGGTGTATGTATATCTCTATTGCTTGTGTGGATGTATGATATGCATGGTGGATGATTGTGGCTATAGTTTATTTGATTATAATATGGCCTGCGTGTCGTGCTTTATCTCTTAAACTCTTGTTGTAAATCTATTTCTCTCTCTTACCTCAATCGAGGACTCTTTTCTCACGTGGTGGTTAGAAGACGAAAAGATTTGATGACCGTTTGGAGAAATCTAAAAGAATGGAGATAGCCCGAAGTCCAAGTGCCCGGAAGCTAGTGGGAGATATCGTTTTATTTTTCTTTAAGGGGCCACAATCATTACACGTTTATTTACTGCGTTTTGTGAATGCATGTTGAATGTATGTTGAACGCTAGTAATGGACATGTGCGCGGCCATGTTGATAGGTGAGATCGAAATTATAAATCCCTCATGAATATTAAGTCTGTTGCCTTCTGACGCCCGGCACCTATCCGGCTAATGTGCACTGTCATGTACGCAGCCTCAGCAGAGCATAGTACGGTGTATGTTAAGCTGGTTACGGGAACCGTCATAGCGTGGTCGCTGTCGCACGTTGGGTTATACTTAACTGAGTCTCGGTCAAATGGATGGACGACTCAGAGGCAGTAAGTTGGGGTCATCAATGACAAGTCGGATGATTTTACTCACTCATCCAGCCAGGAGTTGGATCTTTATGATTTAATTGGAACTCTGTTCCTAACCAAAGTAGTCTACTTGTAAGACGTGCCTCAGCCAATTACAAGTATGGTGAAAAGGTGTCCTGGTCCGGTTGTAGTAATATTGTTCAGCCAACACCAGATCAAGAGCTAAGAGCCCGGCTCATCAGTTGGAACTATGTTCCTACCTAAATAGTTGTCTTGTGGAGTAACGCCCAAGCGGAACGCAAGATAATGAAATATGGATCTTGGCCCACTAGAGGTTTCGCCGGAAATCTCCGAATCAATATCGAGGGTTATTGATTTGTTAAAAATAGTGGGAGATAATTAATTAAAGGCCTAATTAATTATTAAACATGATAGATAACCTAGTTTGCAAAA